TTTCCTCGTTGCATTTCGTTCAATGTTGTTTTCGCATCAAGGATGCAGTTCGCGTTGAGTAAGTTGCTGGTTCTGAAATTTTGGGTTCAAATTTCAGAAAATGTTAACGGTACCGAGAATTGTAAGATGGTAAATAAATTGTCGCGTTGTCGAACGGCGATTGTTTTCAATTGCAATTCGAACATGTTCTAGGTTAACGAGTTAACATGATCTCCGTTAAAGCATTTTCTAATTTAACGATGTGCGCGAGGATGTGTTGGTAAAATCAACCAAGTGTTCGATGAAAGTGGCACCGAATCTATCGGACACTAGATGTAACAAACGTGCGATGCTTTGCAATAAGAAAGAATTAAATCAAACATCTTGCCATTTGTATTACAATGTACGCTGGACTTCAGAAATTTATTCAAGCATTTCCTACGAAATTTACTTTATAATACGAACAATTTTGAATCAAGAAATGTGAAACGTGGTTTTTACCGCCATAGTAGGTTTAGTGTTAATATAAATCTACCGAGCTCTGAAAGAAACTAATGTGTATAGCATTATAATGACGTAAAAAGTGCAGTAAATTATCCCCAATTGACGCTCAGATTGTCCACGAAAATGGACAATTTGGAAAGAGAAGATACGATTATTCGTGCCTCGCAGCTCGTTTTTATAATTATTGACGATTCGTGACTATAAAAACGAACCGCAAGGCTCGAATAATCGTACCTCCTCTTCCCAAATTGTCCATTTTTGGTTCCATGTTGAGCGTCGATTAGGGAGAATTTACTGCACTTCTTTCATCATTTTTATTATAATACAGTAATGTCTCCCTAATTCACGCTCAGATTGTCCACAAAAATGAACAATTTGGGAAGAGGAGATACGATTATTTCTGCCTTGCAGCTCGTTTTTATAATTGTTGACGATTCATGACTATAAAAACGAACCGCAAGGCTCGAATAATCGTACCTCCTCTTCCCAAATTGTCCATTTTTGGTTCCATGTTGAGCGTCGATTAGGGAGAATTTACTGCACTTCTTTCATCATTTTTATTATAATACAGTAATGTCTCCCTAATTCACGCTCAGATTGTCCACAAAAATGAACAATTTGGGAAGAGGAGATACGATTATTTCTGCCTTGCAGCTCGTTTTTATAATTGTTGACGATTCATGACTATAAAAACGAACCGCAAGGCTCGAATAATCGTACCTCCTCTTTCCAAATTGTCCATTTTTGGTTCCAAGTTGAGCGTCGATTAGGAAGAATTTACTGCACTCCTTTCATCATTTTTATTATAATACAGTAATGTCTCCCTAATTCACGCTCAGATTGTCCACAAAAATGAACAATTTGGGAAGAGGAGATACGATTATTTCTGCCTTGCAGCTCGTTTTTATAATTATTGACAATTCGTGACTATAAAAACGAACCGCAAGGATCGAATAATCATATCTCCTCTTCCCAAATTGTCCATTCTCGAAGACAATCTGAGCGTCACTTAGAGAGACATTACTGAATATACTTGAATTAACGAATTCATTCAATAATTTTCTGTGAAAGAGTCTAAAATTTCAGCAACTTTAAAACAGAAAAAGTGAAATTGGTCTCTCTCGAACGGCCCGGTAGGTTCAGCATTAAGTTCGGTCATTATCAAACGCGACGCTCGCAAGTGTGGAGGGTTGAAACAACCGTGTATCACTATCGATTCGAAATCGCCAGGGCTCTTCGTAAACAACGAATACTCGTATTGTACACGCAGCCATAAAGGTTACATCGAGGGAACAGGTACTTTCAGGGAAATTTCGAGTGTTTCTAAGGTGGTCGCTCGGTTCAATTAATTTCACGACCGACGAGTCGCCTCGTGGCGACTCGTCCCGTCGCGTCACCGAGGCGAGCAGAAAAAAAAAGGGCCGGGTAGAATGAAACGAGAGCACCACGGGCCCGGAGAAACGGATGAACGGATTGTGCGAGATAAGAAGAGATGACAGGTAATTCGGTCGATGGAAACGAGACAGCTGGCCATGCCGCGTCCCGAACGCACCCACCGGTCGCGCGTCTTAATCCTTCTTACACTTTGGTCCCCGGTTTTATCGATCCCTCCGGCTGATAACACCCGGACCGGTAGAATCCACGAGGCTTTCCAACCGCGACTAATTGCCCGCCGCATGGATGTCGTTGGAAAATTGCTCCAATTTCCTCCATCCTGTAGCTCGCGTAAAACGCGAGTTAGTTCGCGGCGGTTGTAGATCAAAATCGCCGACACGTTTAAGAGCTTCCTGATGCTCGTGTTTCGCATCCGTCGTCTCTCGCATTTTCTCAATTTCATCGTAGAGACGCGAAGGCTATTGGGGATCGCGAGGCTAATGTGTCAACTAGCTCTCTTACAGAAAACTTGATCTATCTCTCACGTATTATTAAAGCGTTACGACCAGCTTTCGCGAGGGTTACTTGCAGCAAGAAGTAATTATATTCACGCATCGATGAGTTGAGCACATCATTGCTTGATTTTGATTGCAGTTAAACCTATTTATGCGAGTTAATTTCATTAGGATGCTGGGTGATCCGCGGACTCAATTAACCCCTTCAGATCGGTGTAATAGTACCATTGACGCGTGACAGTGATTTTTAAACAATATCGAATTCTTTTTGCATTGTTGTCCGTTTTTTGATATTGTTCGCTGTGTATGAAGTAACTTATGAAGCACTTTAGCTCTCTGTGTATGTTTACATGTAAAATTTAAAAAATTCTTCTTTTACGTAAATTTATTTTAGCAGGAGGAAATTAGCCCTTAAATATTAGGCCGCTTTTGACTTTATTGCCGTAATTCGCAAAGATATAAAAAACGTCCATGATAGAAAGAAGTCGTCGAACAAAAGTTACTTCTGCTCTCCAAACCTATCTTGTGCTATACAAAAAACATCGATTACTTGTTTATTATTTTTTCCAATTGTTGAAACGATTGACAAACAGTACACCACGCGATAGATTTGGGCAAAAGGAGTAACTTTTGTTTGCGAATTGTTGCAATGGAATGAAAAATAGCCGAATATTTAGAGGTTAATTAACATGCTTAAAGGAAATTTACGCAAGAAAAAAAAGATTACCTAAAACATATTTATATTTATTTTACATATCCCCAAAGCTTCTGAATTTTTTGGAATTTTCGGGTCGGGAATCATCCCCTGTCCTTCAGTTTATAAACAAAAAGGGAGGCTGAGATACGATTATGCGACGCTTGCGGCTCGTCCTCAGAGTCGCCGATTGTCAACAACTATAAAAACGCGCCGCGGGGCTCTCGAATAATCGTGACGTTCTCTTCCCCATCAAATTGTCCATTTTTGTTTACAAGCTGAGAGACAATTGGGGAGAATCTACTGTACCCGGTGATTATAGTGTGTACATTTCTCCTGCACCCTACGCTCTCCTGCGCCCTACTCTAGCCGATAGACGTTGCCATCGATTACGCAAATACTACACAACAATTTTGTTTACACCTACAACGGTTTGACTCGTTGAACAGACTAATAACGTTATAGTATCCTCGCGGTGGAAAACGACAACTTGAGTAAATATTTATATTATATTCACGCATAAAATAAATATTTCAGGCTTCTTAGAATGATCTCAGCAGAACTTGCCAGAAGATGCTGATCACACTCGGAGACGGATAAATGGTGTACGAATTTGTTTTAATTTTGACTGCATCTTCTCGCACCCCCTATCAAACCTCTTCCAGGGGCGAGAGCTACATTCTTGACCCCACTCCGTCACACTAGACTACTAGACAATCTTTCTAAAGAAAGAATCATCGTCTGGTAGACGATTAGACGCGGATGACATTCGGGCCGCGGTCATCCCCGGAACAGTAGTTCCAGAAGGTCGTGAATCGTGGCGCAGGTAGTAGGGGTATAATACTCGCGCGACCGGCTGAAAGCGTGCGTACTCGCGGCTTAAGCAGCACTAGCACCAAGACCAGGACCAACACCAGCCCAGCATCCTTTGCAGGCAGCGGCAGCAGCAGCAACAGCAGCAGCAGCGAGGAACAGCCCTCTCCACGCGGCTCGCACAGCAGTCGGTTTCTTCTCCTCTCGTCTCTTCTGGTCACTCTGTTCCCTTGCCAGTGGTTAGTCCAGGCCGGCTCCCTCTTTTCCCGTTCGCGGTTTCTCTCTCGCTCCTGTCGATACGCGTTGTCTCTGGGCCGGGTGTCTCTCGTTCTCCCCTGTTGGCTCCTTTTCTCTCCCCGTGGGCATCTCTGTCGGACCGGTACCGGCCCGTCACTATCTCGCTCTCCGGCTTCTCGGAGTCTCTTTAGTTTTGTGCGCTACCTGCCTGCCTTGTGGCTCGCTCGTATCGTATCGTATGTAAGCGAGGTGCCGGTGGCGGGACGAGGCGAGCAGGAGATCGAACAGGCGAGCAAGCACAGGCGAGGTTCGGCTCTCGATTTGCCTGTGTGTGGGGCTGCGGCATGGCGTTGTCTCCTCTCGTGTAGGCACACACGGGGCCCTCTCACACGTGCTCGTCTCACGCACTCGTCTCGCGCACGCACACGGTGCGTCGCGCGTTACGTCGCGTCGCCTCGCGTCGCCTCGCGTTGCCTCGCGTCACGCCGCGGTCTTTCTTTCTCTCTCTCTCTCTCTCTCGGGAGAGAGCAGAACGAGATATCGGAACAACCGTACAACGAAGAAGCAGAGGAAGAAGAAGAAGAAGAAGAAGAAGAAGACGACGACGACGACGAAGAGGAGGTGGAGGAGGAGGAGGAGGAGGAGGAGGAAGGTTCGTTTGGTTTCGCGAGACGCGAGTACGAGCGAGCCAACGGAACGGAGCGGCACACAGAGACTTCCTACGGAGAGCTGTCCGGCTGTATAGAGGCAGCACGTTAGGTCCCCTCGAAGAGAGGCGAGAGATAGGGGCCCCGGCGATGAGGCGAGAGAGCGAGAGAGAGCCGGATCCTGTGTATGGGTCGGAGCCACGCGATTGTGTGTGGCCGGTGCACAAGAGCGTGGCTCCCCTCCCTCCGGAGCCACACTCCACCACACTCCTCCTACCTCTCAGCCTCTACCTCCTTCTTCTACCTGCCGGGCCGGCCGACACACATGTATATGTGTACCTTGGTCTTCAGTGTAAGATCTGAACCAGCGGAGAACGCACGCTATTGTTATATCATTATCATTGTCATCGTCCGCGGCGATTCGCGCCCGTCCCCGCCGCCGCCGCCTCCGCGCCGCGTCTACCGTCTTCGCCCCCCAGTGCCGGCTCCGAAAATCCGCAGGAAAAGTCCTGCGAGAAACGGCGAACCCGCGTCGACAGGCTCCGGAACGAGCCCGCGAGAGACGATCGCCAGGATCGTGTGCCGGTCCACGCGCCGCGAGATCGCTAGATCGCCGCGAGATCGAGAGATCGAGACACATTGCCGGCTCCTCCCTCTCCAGGCCGCTGCACACCGGCCTGCTCACGGCGCTCTCTGCTCTCTGCTCTCTGCTCTGCTCTGCTCTCGCCGGCAGGATTCGGCCGGTCCTGTGTCCCCGGGGTCAAAGGATGACGGGACGTAAGGTGTCGCCGGCGCGCCCTCTGACAAGCAGCCGCGCACGGGGCGGCCCACCTGTGTGAACACGTGGGAAATCCTCACCCGCACACGCTCCGCACATCCTCCTCCGCCGGTCTACGACACGCACGCCCACCGCCGAAACCTCGTGGGTCCACCTGTTCGAGCCGGAGCTCGCCGATCGATCATCGATCCCGGTCCGATCGCGGTGCTCGTGGACGCGCGCGAAACCTTCCGATCGTCCAGAAGGATCAGCTGTGAGAATTTTTGGAACGCCGCCGAGGGACCAACCGACCGACCGACCGACCGATTTGGTGGTGCGCGGCTAGTTTCGTTCTATCGATTTCACTTTGGCATAGTAGAGAGAGAGAGAGAGGGAGGGAGAGGGGGAGAGAGGCAAGAAGGAAGACGTCGGACTCTGGTCGATTAGGATCGAGGGGACCCAATGACGGGGAGGAAGAAAAGGAGGTCTCGGGTCTCGACGGACGAGGCGACCAGGATCGATCGGAAACACGCCACGGCCGACGCCTAATTAAATCGATTAGACTTTGGGGTTAATTGTTCTGGAACGCCGCGCCGCGCGCGGTTCCCGCCTACTGTCATCGCCGGCTCCGGCCCGCCGATATCGGGAACGTGAATCGTTACAGTGCTAGATATCGGGACTATGTATAGATCGTCCGCGACGCTGTCATCTCGTTGCTGTCGTTGTCTCGCTGTCGTGTGACCCGAGCGTCGCGCGATCCAGGATCGTGAACACAGAAACTCGTGTGACCTTTCGTCGGTGTGGATCGAGGCCCGATATATCGCGGGGAGTATCGACCGGCAGTGGGATCGACGAGGAAATTTTCGGTGCTAAGTGACGTCCCGTGTTCGACAAGCTAGGGTACCTCCCAGTGTCACCGGTATCTGCTGCTCCTCCGCGGTGCGTCGTCGTCTTTTTTTTCCGGCGACCCTCGGGAGGACAGTCGTCTCTCCTCTTCTCGTCTTCCCCGGTTTCTAATCGGTACCTTTTGTTAAACCGGGGGGGTAATCGAACCGAACCGATTGTCCGGTCGAGGCCTTCTACTCTGGTGGATAAATGTGATCGCAAAACTGGTGTCCTTTGTTCAGTGTTCCGGGCCCTTCCGTTGACAAACAGCCGGGGCCCGAAGGCTTCCGTCTAGTTCCCCTCCCGCGCGTTCGCGATTCTTCGCTGCTGTTCGCAGGGAATCGTTTTGTGGTGACAGAGAACCGGCTCCGGCTCGAACGCGGTCCGCCTGCGACCCCGATGATTGCTCAATTAGTTTTAAACGTGCTCGCGTAGTGCGCCCGTCGCGGCCGGATAGCTACGAGGCTAACGATCCAGGTGAATCCGTGCTAATCCGTGATCAGTGCTGAAGGTATCCTCGAATATTCCTCGCGCCGAGCTGTGGACCACTCGGTGCGCGTGATACTCGGGCCTAGCTCCCGCCAGGAGACCACGATTATGCGAACGAATGGTCGCTGTGATAAATGATTCCCAAGATCCACCATAGTCCCTGGAAGCTACCAGTTTGGAACTGACGGTGAGTCCATACACTCTTTCACCATTTCGCAATCGGAACGCTGAAAATCGGACCGCGTTCGGTGCCGATCCTCTTCGAGTGACGATGCTTCGGAATTGGAGGAGGACGGTGCGTTTAGGATTAGATACCTTCGAAGCCCGACGGTATTTCCGCGGTCGAAAAAACCTTACTCCTTCATCTCCCGCCAAGTGGTAGATTAGGTGTCTTCGCAGCCACAAGGCGCTCGTAAGCCGCCGTGTTGCAGTTCTGCGTGACATAGACTTTAGTCTCTCGGTCTTTTTTCCTTTCTCGCAGGACTAGATGTACTCCATTCAACATTCTTTTATAGATGTTAATTTCTAGCACAGGAATGCATGATACGATAACAGTATCTAGGTAGCCAGTGCTCACAGACCATATCACATCGTGATCTGATCACGGTGCCGCAACTCCGACGCGATATTATCTCTCATCGCAATCATTCTTCTATCGACCGACTTTTTAAATCGTTCACCTTCGGCACAAGGGTAGCTAGGTGCCGCGATAGCCAAGCTGTTCGTTCGCGTCTGTAATTTCGATGTCTCCTCGATTTGCCGCTTCGCCTAATTCCTCGAAGTTCTCGAGTCACTCGCTCCTTCCAGCATCGGTGGAAATACAGGACTCGGTCGATGTATCGTCAACTGCTGGCAACCCCGTTGTTTTAGGACCGATGTCATGGTATCCAAATCGATTCTGATACAGACCGGATGTCGGAACGCGAAGCCGGTGCCTCTGGTTCCTAAAAGTTGTGAACCAAATGAACGATGCGAAGTTCCTAGTTTCTCGAAGATGTACCCGAGTCTGCTCGCTAAAGATCGTCGTCGCTGGAGGCGACGAATCCTAATCGTCATAAGGATCGATCGAAGAAGCCCCGCTTAATCAGAAAAACACGTCAGCCTGGGTGTCGGTAGCAGGTGGGAACACGTTGTAGCGCGATTAGCCGTTCGGAAAATCGGAGTCATCAGCGTCAGACGATAGTCGTTGTCGAAGACGGTAAACGTCAGAGCGGGGCCCGGCAAGCTGCGCTGTCAGATGGGATCCGCGGGTCTCGTTTAGCGTAGCAAAAACGTGGGTTCTCGGTGGTATCTGTCGAAAGGTATCTCCTAATAAAGCGACGGCGCGATAAGTAAAGAGGAATTGGCGTTGCGGGACGTGTAAGGAGTTCCCGTTTCGCGGCGAGTCGTGCCTGCTCTTTCGCCGGGCCCAGAAAACCCGGGGCCCGGGGGCCCGAAGAGGCGAATTCGAGCTCGGCTCGGCGCGGCGCGCGGCAAATGGAACGATAAATCCTTCGATTGTCGAACGTCGATAATCGTTCGCGGCGGCGCTCCGTTGTAGACACGGCGGAACAAACATCGTCGGACCCAGACCTGTTATCGCGAGCACGTGATCAACGGGGACCCGGGCCGATTTCTGCGCTCGCGAGAAGTGAAAATATGGCCCCGGTCGCTCGGTCACGTTTACAATGTAACACGCCGATCGACGATCCGCGACAGACTCCCAGGAAGCTTTCGGTGAAACCGACGGCTATCGGCCGCGAGCGACGCGCGGAACACGCCGAGCTCTTAGGAGATTCACGCCGAGCGAGCGAGCGAGCGAGCGGAGCGCAGGCCACGGTTCTAGTTCCCCGATTTGGTAGCTTGCCCGCAATCGCCGACTCGCTATAATTTCTGATTATTTTAATTGACCCCGCAAAAAGACCTCGCGTCGGCCACGGGAACAATCGTCGATGAAATTGCCGGTACGCGCCGCGGCGGCCCGCTTTGGAGCTGGCCGGACTTTCTCGATGGCTTTTTACGCGCGAGCTAGCAAGCGGAATCGGCCGCGTCACCGCGCTAGATGACGAGGGAGTTACTGTGAAATCGACGGGGATTCACGAATATGCAAAAGGAACTGGTTCTGATCGCGAACATCGTTGCTTCTCGCTTCTTTTATCGCGCGTTCGAACTTATTAATTTGCAGCTTTCGTCGCAGATCTTGGTAAACGGTTTTTCGAGAAACGGCTAGCCCAAGTTCCCCGGACCGAGACTAAAGTTTACTTGTCTGTTTCTTTCTGTCATCTCGCATTGATTGAATACACTGCAATAAGCCGGATTCGTCTGCAAAGTGACATGGCGCGTGACCAGCATAGAAGTTGGTTTATCTAATGCAGGAATCAGGATGACATACTTGTAATACGAGAAGCGCAGGTGATCGCTAGATTCTATGCAATTCTGCGTGATATAAAACTGTGGAAAGATTGAAAGAAACGAAGTGTATTGATTAATTTGGGCTTGTTAAAATTATTAACGAAGGAAATGATATTGTGCTCGGCTCGTATGTCTGGCTATCGATGCAGACAATTTCGATTTCGCATACAGAGATCCGCATTCTCGCGATAGATCGGAGATCTTCGTGGCAAATAAGCGTCCGCTGCTGGAAGTAGAATCTGTGCACGAGATTTTTTCTTGCTGAAGTAATTTTAATAGGTCAAAAATAATAAGTAATACTTCTACTTATTCAAATTGCAGCTACTCGGTGTCGTAAACACACGAAGTCCGTAGTCCAATGATCGCACGCATGCTGACTCACGGCTGACTACACACCACCGTGATACACACACGTTATTGCAAACATTACTCTACACACGTTATTACAAACATTATTGTAAACATTATCGCAAACATTATTACAAACATTATTACGCTTTTCCGAAGTCGGAAACGTGCCATTTACGTGTCTGTCGGACCCTTGCGAGATTTCCGACATGAGATCAGCCTAGGAGTACCCGTTTCTCCATGATCGAGCATTGTCAAGAAAAGCTGCAGAAACTCGTGGCGAATGGAAATTTGTCCGATGAGTAAGTCACGAAATTATTCCTGTCACGTTGACAGGAAAATCGGCGACCTCGCGTTCTCTCCAAGAACTGTAAAAGATTATTCTTATTCTTGAGAGTGACCGATGACTTCGATTATGATCGTTCCAGAGGATTCCTCGAGAAACATATCCGGGGAGAATAAATTACGTGCTGCTCCGTGTACACAAATTAATTCATTCGTGCCACTTAACATATTGTCAACATTTATACATATATCGTAAATCGTTCTCGATCGATCTATCCGGATCGATATTCTCGAGGAATCGATGCATTATATCCTAGTCTCTAATTTTTGTATGCAACAATCTGCATTATGATTATTCTGCAGTTGTACGTAGCTTCTTTGCCGACTGCATTAGTTCCTATCATTTCTGCACGCAGAAATCTGTGATTTGATTAGCCGTCGATTAGGGACGATTTTTAAGTTGACACTCGAACTTGCTGACAAAGATATAGCCGATGACGCTTAGAATCATTCGTAGCTTTATTTATCAAGTTTTCTGAACGTACTTCGTGAAGTACTCCTTCTGAATACATCAGTTTTTCTGCAAATATCAAACCGGTAAGAAAAACTGCTCTCTGGTTTCTTCATCTACGTTTCCATCTGGTTTGTAATACTGTAAAAATGTTTCTATGAGAAATTTTTAGATAAACTTCTTCTTTATTCATGCATATTATACATTCGTACAATAATAGAAATCGTGCGAAGTTTAAATAAGTCTAATCTTGTCGTTGTTATAAAACAATATGCATTATAGTTGCGTTTAGAACTCGGTAGTTCTAGTGGAAATGAATCGTGGTGAAATTTTAATTAGTCGTGAGAAGCTTGTTATTCGAGTAACAATTCTGAAAATCTGTGTCCAATCGGAGCCTCGACGTCTGAGCGATAAAGGATTAAACTACTCACTTTTCGTCAACTAATCCGAATCACTGTTACACTCCATTAAAACCAATCGTGAGATCAACTTGTCGCGAAGAAGCACCCGCGAGAGTCTGTTTAAAGAAATTTATACAAACAAAAATAAGACGGCCTGCGTTTTCGGGACTTTTGGAATCGCGTCGACAGTCGCCGGCATTACACGCGTCGCCGCGCTGCACCGAAATGAAGAGGTTGTAGCTGTCATTGGCTGGGTAACATTAATTCGCGGAATAAATTCATACGGATAATAAAATGAAGAACCTGTTGGCAGGCCGTTATAAATTAGGCGAAGATGAAAAATTCGCCACCGCCGCGGCGCGGCGCGTCGCTGTTCGGCCGTGCGGATCCCTCGCTCTCTCGAAAGAGAGGCGAAGAAAGAGAGCGAGACACGCGATCGCATTAACGAGACCAGCCGCAAAAAACGAAGACAGGAATTTCGAGCGTGCAGAATACAGGAAGCAAGGGAGACCAGATACGATATCAAAATCTCGACGAGAGCGATCCGCTCGAGCTCTCAGCGCGACGTCCTTGCCGAGCGTAACGGAGCGTTCTCAACTCGTCGTGCTCTTTTTCTGTAATTAAACGCTTTTACTTTGTTTTCGGTATCGATTAGCTGGCGACAAAGTATCCACGGGGAAAGCGTTAACCCGCTCTCGGCTCTGCTAGACGCGATTCCCGGCCTCGCGATCGCAGTAAATTATTAATCAGGACCGCTAATTACACGTTCGCCCGTTGCTCGAATAGGCATTCCTCCGGTATCGTTCTATCTCATTATCAATCTCCGCCGATACGCCGGGATTTTCTAATACATTTAATTAACCCCGTTGCGTAAAGCCCGGCGCGGCGCGCGGATCGAACGCGTACCGCGCGAAACAGTAGCGGCGATCGGCGCGAGCGCCAGCGAAACCGTAATAATTCGGTCTTCCAGCGAGCATAAATTCACGCACCTGTTCCGTATGCACGTCCACGCTCCATCGACGAAATTAACTGCCGCGTATATTTCATCGTTCCTTTACTTCCTCCACCTTTTTTTTTCTCGTTTGTCGTTCCCTTTCTCTTTTGCTCCTGCTTTTGCTTTTCCGCCTCTCTTTCCCGCCCGCGACCGGGCCCGTTTCTCGCTTTGTGTATTTTCGATCTCTAACGGGCGGATATAAATATATATCGAGCAACTTAATCGTCGAGCCGTTCGCCAGCTGTCGATGATCGGCC